AAAAAAAAAAAAAAAAAAAGCTGATGCTTCAACACCACATTTGACATTACTGTTCTACCCCTTTAATGAACGACAATTCTCAGAGTAGCAAAAACAAGGAGCCACTGCAAGAAGTGAAATCTGCTAATTTACAAGATACTTTACTACATTTGCCCCATAATAATTCAAAAGATGACAAGCCTGCACAAAGTACTGTCTCACAAATCGATAATACTGTACAAAATATGTGCTCTACTGTTCCAGAAGAAATACTGCTAAATTACAACGATCCCCATTCCTGGCCTACTATTACAAATAAATTAATATATTCTCTTGTCACATATGGTCAGGATCTAGGCAACAACATTGCACTAATATGGACTAAGCAAATGATTCAGGGCGAAAATTTACAAAGGACTTGTTTTATGTTAAACAAATTAATGGAGAAATTGTTACAGGATTTTATATTCCATTAATCAAAATGCAGTACTATATTTTGCTTTCCTTGCATGCTTTTTGGACACAAATCATATAATCTTTCAGACCCAAAAAAAAGGATTTCATTATTGGAGGCATCTTCATCCGGTTATTCCCTTACACGAAAATTCTCTGGAGCACCGAAATTTGTATGTGAAATGGAAAATGATGGAAAAGAATCTAAAATTAGGAAATGCAATTAATGATTATGTAGTTAATTCAATTAACAAGGAAAAAATGATATGGTGTGAAATATTGAAAATAATATTGAATGCTATTCTATTCTGTGCCAACAATAATATTGCTCTTAGAGGTTCAAATGAAATTATTGGAGATCCAAATTGTGGCATTTTTTAAAATTTGATTGAATTTGCTAGCCATTATAATATTTTAAATGAACATATCAAAAAACATAAAAAATGTTCAGTTTCTTATTTCTCACCAATTATTCAAAATGAAATAATAAAATTAGTTGGGGAGAAAACTAGAAATGAAATCATATGCAGAATTAAGAAACAAAGTACTACACCATTGTATTTGACAGCACCCCTGATGTTTCAAGAAAAGAACAAATAGATTGGCGTTATCAAATAATGAAAACTATCTGTGATGATTTTTGCTTTCTCTATGGCTCTTCTTTACAATACATGAGTGTTGCTGATTTAAAAAAAAAAATCAGCTACAGATCTCGCTATTAAATATAGCAAAGATTTAAAATTGCCCGAAAGTTTATCTTATTAAATCTAAAGATTTAAAAAAGTACAAATTCACAAGTGAGATTGAAAGTTTTAAGTTTGAAGTAACGACTCTTAAACAAAATATAAAAACTGCATCTCCGCTTAATATTCTACAGGCTCTTCATGATTTTGGCTTAATTGAGTCTTACCCAAATATCAATGCCGCTCTTCAAATATTTCTAACTCTTTCCGTTTTTATTGCTTCGTGCGAGAGAAGTTTTAGCAAGTTAAAATTAATAAAAAATTTATTAAGATTAACTATCGGGCAAGAACGATTATCCAATATTTCTGTTATTTCAATAGAATACATTATCATTAAAAATATTATGATCATGTAATTAATGAATTTGCTAAAATGAAAGCCAGAAAAGTTCAATTAAAATAAATCTTATTAAAAATCTATTGTAATGTATTTGTTTTATTATTTTCCCAAACCAAATAAATTAAGGGGCCTAAATTCAAATTCTTGCACAGGGCACAGGAATGGCTAGTTACGGCTCTGTATGTGAAGCAGTCAAACAAGGGTTGGCTGCACTTGTATGCCTGATCAAATAATTCAACTGTGATGACTTAGTTCATTCAATGGGAACGTAGATGTGATGCAGTGATCAGAAGCTCTGGTTACACCACAAAATACTAATATTTTGTCCTTAAAATACTGGACAAATCTGCATACTTCCTTTGGTAGCTCTACTTTTATCACAGTGTAAAATATAAAAACTTTGTTTTTTCTTTTGTAAATCAGATTTAAAATAAAATCTGTTTGAGTTAATTGAGTATTTTGACTCTTTTTTTGTGCACTTTTCAACTATCACAATATTAATTATGTAGTAGGTGGTGAACAAAACAGAGGTCATTTTTAAAACATATGTCAAGGGTAGCTCTACTTTTGGCCACTACTGTATATAATATGAAAATCAGCAATACATAAAAGAACATTGCTAAACTAGCTTTCAATTACACTGGTCAACATATAGTTAAATTGGTACTGATTAAGGACTTTTCTTCTAGGTTCTTCTCCCTAATCAGGTTATTTTCAGATCTTGAATAATTGCAATTTATAATTTTTACTAATAATCAATTTTATTGTTGTAATTAGTAAATAGAAATTATAACATTTGAGTTTCATAATATTTGTTGTTGTATATTTTTTGTTCTGTAGTCAGAAAGTCTATTACTGGCATTTATAGTTTAATAAAGTTTTGAGTTTTTTCATGAACTCTGGTGCACGGTGTTTGTTTTTTGTTAAAATTTTGGACCTTGCACATTTATTAGAGGAAAAATTGATTGCCACTATTTTGATTGTCTTTCAAAAAATAAAGTAAGCAGTTACTTTATTTTTTGAAAGACTCAAAAAATTTTGATTTAATATTTGAAGTTTTTATTTGAACTATTTTGATTGTCTTTCAAAAAATAAAGTAAGCAGTTACTTTATTTTTTGAAAGACTCAAAAAATTTTGATTTAATATTTGAACAGTTTTTATTTGAAAAATTAATGTTTTTGATAATTACATGTTTTCACAGAAAAAATTGTAATTGCATTGATGCATAGTAACATTATGCTTAAAACTACATATTAACTGTTTATATTTAAATTAAGTTTAACTAAGCAATCAAGCAATTCATTTCAATGTTCTTGCTAACAACCAGAGCAAGGCAAATGGATATTTTTAGAGAATTTTTTAAACAGAACATAAAATTGTAGGAAAATTTTCTAATTGGAAAAATGGCCATAAATCATAACTATGGACACATTCTCTTTTCACAGTAGTCATGTGACAGTTTTATTTTTTTTACCATGGAAAGAAAGAAATTTGTTGATAGTGAAAAAGTTTGTTCTGTTAGTCAGTTGACAAAATGTCACAGTTAACAATTAAGATCCTAGCAATTAGAGATTTTAAGCTCTGAGAGAAATGAAAAAAGCAAAAAAAAAAAAAAAGGAATGTTTGAGATATTTTTTAATCTGCACATATTAGTACAGTAAGACCCCCCACTTAACACGGGGGATACATTCCTAGACGACAAAGTGCTAAACGAAGCAGCATTAAACAAGATCAGTTTTACACAGAGTGAATAGGGAAAGGGAAACATGCAACCAAAAATAAACAGATTTTATTTTAATTTTAAGTTATTTTTATATTAATTTGCATCGTAATATATGTTAAATAACACATAAATATATGAACACAGAAATGTAAAGTTCATTTTTTGTGATGAATGTCCTGGCTCTTCTGAAATTCTTGTTTTTTGCAATAAAGTAGTGTAGTTTCATTTGTCGCCTTTTTTCTTTCCTTAAGCAAATGTCAGTAGCAAGAGATTGCATCAAAAATGCCTCATTTTGCTTTTGCACTCCTTTGAAAATCTGGATCATTCGTTACAATTTGATCAACGATTTTGGTTACCATTATCAAACTTTTACTAAGGAAATTTGTAGAGAAATTTTTTGGGGTTCTTCGTTTTCAGAGTCACAATTTTCCAGTTCTACACAAATTTCTTGTTCTGCCGTTCTTGAAGGTCGTTGTTGGTAAGGCTCTCACCAGAAACCTGCAGCACCCTCTTCAATATCCTCCTTCTCATCTATATCTCTTAGTCCTGCTGTATCAATTAGATTGACAATTTGGTCAACCTAACAATACAGCAATAGGTTCTTCTCATTGAGAATTCTTGGATACTTCCAGCCATAACTTCTTCCACATTCTGGTCATGAATTTATGAGTTAATTCTTGCCAAGCGAAGTTGATATTGCCTACGGCATCCATGGTGTTATAGTTTTTCCAAAATTTCACAAAACAAACATAGATTTCAGGAAAGTACAGCACTACGGTGAATTGCCACCTTTTACTGATTGATTATTCCTAAACATGAACCAATGAAATGCCACAATTTGAATCAGTGTAAATTTTGAGCCTTTTCTTATGCTTCGAGCAGACTGCATTATATCGAAGCAGCATTACAGGGTCTTACTGTATTTTGTTTTCAAGGGCACTTTGGAAATATGAGGTATATACTGGTGCAGGTTATGCATAGGTTTTATTTCAGTTCTAGCAATGTTTTGTGGATTATATGACATTGCAAATTATCCATAAAAACTTGCAATAATTTAGATCTTTATAAAAACCAGGGATGAATTAAGAACTGGCTGGGCTCCAGTGGTTTTGATTTCTGAGCCTTGTGAAAAGTTATAATAATGATAGTTCTCTAATGATGTACTTTTTAGGCTGTTAGAACAGATCATGGCTTTTGGTATTGATATAGCAATACTGCATTATATACAAGTACACAAGAAATGGATAGAGAGAGATTATGAGTCAGATAGTCTTGACAATGTGTAACCAAAGAAGTTTAAAACTGTATATGTCATACTGTTTACAAGAGAGTAAAAGATAGCAATCAACAAGGAAACAATAAATTCTTTTTATTCTAAATCATCATCATCATAATATTAGTGTCATTTTGAGGCTCTTAAAGTCTGAGGCCAGCTGTGAATGCTGGTAATGAGCACACAGGTAATGTACAGTACTGGTAATTAACAGGTGGCCTCAATTTTAAGGGCCTTAATCACTAGAAATCACCAATGCATTATCAGGAATGTTATAATCTCTGATAACAAAAGTTATTAATTTCTTCAAGTAATATAGAGTATCTGCAATGAAGTATCTTAATTTTGTTACAAAATTATTGTATTTTATAAATTTTTATCAGTTAAATAATAAGAATTAGGCAGCTGTTTACTTATATAAGGCAGCTGTTTACTGTGTTTTATATAATACACATGACTGTCCCACTTAAAATTGATCTGACTGAGATGATGAAACATTAGTGATGTAAATTTTATAGGTGATATTTATAAGGGAAAGTGTATGAGACCAATTCCAGAACTGTATGTAAACTGAAGGAAAGTATTTTCAAAAGTACTGGTATTGAAACTATTGACAGTAATTTACATAAGGTCAGTCTGTACATTATTATGCATACTTAAGTCAGAACAAATTTATGCATAGGTGCAGATGGAAACCACTAAGTTTCTGTACATTTAAATAATGTTAAAATTTAAAACAAATGTCCTTTGCCTAAGTTGCCAAAAATCAGCCCTATTCACTGGAAATGTATCATTTCCAGTGAGTAGGGCTGCTTTTGTGTGTGACACCCTATATAATAATTGTTAACTTCAATGACATGATGTAAATCACTTTGATTTTTTTTAATATTTAGCTTTTAATAGATTTTTAATTGTGTTCACTTCCTCAAAATTTCTATATTTGATAATAGGCCTAAATTTTTTAACTTGAATAGGATTGATTTTATTTGTGAAATTAATATATTAATTTAAATCTTTTGTCTGCAATTTACATATATTGAAGTAACATATAAAACAATGAAAATATTTAACCATAAAGTGAAATGACTATACATTATGAACTTTACATAAATTTTTATCAGTTAAATAAGAATTATGAATTGTTTTTCTTTCAATATAAAATGAAGCAAAACTTTCTTTACCTATTAAAATTCCAAAGAATTTAATTTTAGAAACACTATACAGGTTTTATTCTGTAATTTTATATAACAATATAATCATTTGAGAATAAATGTAAAATTGAATTTCAGGATTCCTACACACCTGGAAAGTCATGGATTTTCATTAGTATTCAGAAAAAGTCACGGAATGTCAGGGAATTTAAAAGGCCTTCGTCAGGAACAGAACAATTGAATGATTCTGATTTCAAAACCGATATTTGTTCTGGAACTTTTTGAAATAAAAGGCTGCATTATAAAGATTTTTGTCTGTTGATGCTTGAATATCAGTTAAAAATTGTCAAAAAGTCAAGGAATTTGCTTCCTTGGCTGCCTTATCGATTTTTTGCTGACAATATGCTTGACTAAATGTAGCCATCTGCAGGCAGCAAGAATTAATGTGGTGCAATACAACTTATGAAAAGGGGTACAGAATATTTTCATGACCCAAAATTTCTCCTAAGCTTATGCAAAATTTTTCCAAAAATTTACAAAGTACACAAAATGATAAATAGTTTAAATGGTATTACAGTAGAGCGTCGATTATCCGAATCAATTGGGACTGGGATTGTTCGGAAAAAATCGATATTTCGAATAACCGATTGGGTACGAAAAATATATTAACCTATCCCATGTTGAAATTTTTCTCCGTTGCGTGTCGNCTCTAGAATATAATCTTTGTCTTGAGGTTGTAAAAGGCGTGCAGAAATTCTGACATAACTTTTTGCTTTATAGTGGTACGCATATGTGTTGTATACCTCAACGGCGGATTAATTTAAACGGTAAGCAAACTATGCGGCCACATAGGGGCTCAAAGGGGTCCCCAAGGTCTTTAAAATTCTACTGAAAAAAGGGATTGCGAAAACACAGAAGATAGAAATAGTCCAGAAAAACACTTCGATATAGACATGGAAGTAATAAATGATATAGCTTTATGGCCAATAATATTAATTAACAGATGCTATTATTTTCTTATTATCATATTCTTAAAACAAACCAAAAAGTATTGGGAATATAGCGAATTTGAAATCAGTGTATACAGTAAAGACAGAGATGAAGTGTATTACAAAGAACTTTCTTATGACTATTTTTACAGAAAGAAATCAAAATTATGGAAAAGAGAAATTGATCGATATTTTCAGAAAGAAGCAAAAGTGTTTACTGTTACCCTTGCAAACTCTTTTCAACATCAAAGTCTAAATTAATAACTGGTTTATCGAGTAGCGACAAAGTAGCTACTTTTCAAAATATCTGTGGCGAAATCAATGACTTTTATTTTAATATGTTGCGGCGTTTATTTACGAACGTTTGACAACACTGCTGCTCACCAACATAAACATTCGAATAAATGGCAGAACTGACTGATATTTTCAACGTGCCTATGTTAACTTGTCTAACTTAGATTAGTGTAGTGATATTGGAACTTCTCATCCTCCCTCAATGTGGTTTTGTGGTCCAGGTACAATCTATTTGCATGCAGTCGGAAAGAGTAGTAAGAAAATGTAGACAAAGGGCCATAAAAAAGGAAGGAAGAAAAGGTGAAAAAAGGGAACAGGAGAGTAGGTAGAAGCTCGGGAGAGAGAGGAAGCAGTAGTAAAATGGTGGAATCTGAAAGTGAGATTAAAGATTAAAGTTTTTTTTGTATTACAATATTTGGTTGTTCGAGTTCTGTGTGACAAATTGGCGAGGCAGAATCCATAATTCAAATCAGGTTATCTACAGTTAGGTTACAGTGTGAATATGGCAACGTAGTCACTGTACTTGTGTTTGTGAAAACAGGTAAGAATGTAAATAATAATATTAACATTATTTGATTAATATTAAGATTTCATAACAGACACGTGATGAACGTGCTTGGCTAATCCTGTCAAGTTTGTTATTTCTGTAGGTAATTTTGTACTTTTGTATTTGTATAGTGAAGTAATTTGCAATGCTAAGTTTTTATGTACATGTAGACTATTTCATTTAGTACTTTTTAATGTATATTTAAGTTTTATAGTAAAATTTTAATAATTAATTTTATATTAAACAAATTTTTAGGTTTTTATTATTTTCTGTAAAATGTTTGGTTGGAAAAATCATAGAAATATGAGATACGAGGGCATCCAAGCAAATGATATTTTGTCACTTGCTTGCATTCACTCTATAAATAATAGTTACTATACAGTTTACCAGTGTCGTAGTATGGATGTCAGCGCCCAGGGCGGAGAAAAATTTCACCGTCCCGTTGTTCAGGTACCTCAATTTAAAAGACTAAAATTCCATTTCATAACAGAAGAACAAGTAGTAAAAATTTTCTTGCCAGTGTAGCCACCTGTCTAAAACTGTGCTTGTACGATTCATTTTTCATATACACCTCCAATTTCCAATGGACCTGTCTAAAATAGCTCAATTGGATATTGGAGGTGTATATGAAAAATGAATCGTAAAAGCAATAAAAAAAAAAATGGTCGACGGGCTGCGCACACGGATGAAATTAATATTCACCCGGACGGTGAGTCTATTCTCAGACTATTCCGTGCTCATTTCAATTGTAGGTGCGACAAAACTATGGGATAAAATGGTTCAAATTTTTACAAGATGATATTATTATTTATTGTGAAATTTTGCTGCCCCTTAAAAAGTGCCACCCGGGGCAGGCCACCCCTGCCGCCCCCACTATGCTACACCACTGCAATTTACAGTATCTTATAAGTTTTATACTTGTATAGGCAACATGTTAAAATTAATATTTTTGTTTAGTTCTAGTTTAAAAATGTCTAAGCAACTGTCGGGCGCATAAAAGAGAAATATAAGGAAACGAAAATTAGAAGAATGCAAGTCAGTGTCGCAACAATTTGTTAAATGGCTAAATACAGAAACACCAGAGAACGGAGGAAGTTCGGAAAAGGTCAAACCTACTACTGCTTCACAAGCTGATGATACATTTGGACTCTTTGTGCTCTCCGAGCGGTAAGGGGCCTAAACCCACAAAAAAAAAAAAAAAAAAACTGATGCTTTAACACCTACCTACT